CGTGTGTGTGTTCAATGATAAGGTCTGTCATTGAATCAACTGGCGTGGTTTCGATTCCCCGGTTGTACGTGACAAGGAGTAGGATCGCCTGTCCAACCTCATGGGTTTTCTCTGGGTCCTCCGGTTTCCCTCCCACTGCTAATAATCCCTACGCGCAAACGAATTATTTAAATATAATTGAACCATATGTTAGTCTCGAAATGACTTAGTTTGTGTCGAATGGATTAAACCCCATCTCTCTCTCTCTCTCTCTCTCTTTCTCTCTCTCTCTCTCGTCGCCCATCCCACCCCACCATCTGATGATAAAGGATAAAGAACACGACCGAGGTACTTTTCTCATAAAAAGTGTTGTTTTACAAAAATATTTATGAAACTCTGGATCCGCCCATGTATGTATGTATGTATGTATGTAGATTTATTGTATGTAAACATACAATTTATTTACCGTGTACGCCTTCATACCACAATCGTGTAAATTGTTTTGACTTTTAATGGGCCCCGTTTTTGGTTGAGACATTTGCATTTTGTTGAGGTTAAGGGAGGAAGGGGTTGAACACATCCGCTTTAAAAAGGGGAAATTGTTAATAGGAATTCTAGTATTTAAATAAATGTCCGTCATATAACATGTCGCAATGTTGTAATAAAATACATCAGTTTTCTAGGAAAATTGTGTAATTCTTGGTTTCTTCATCTTGTTTTCTTTATGTATGTATATATATATCTCCGTCACCATTTGTCGACCCATTCTTTAGTTTTCCTTCTTACCTTTTTATATATATTTTTTATTTCTTCTAATTTTTTAATTAAAATATATTTTTTCTAGTCGCAACCAAGCCATCTTGTTTATAACTGGTCCTTTTTTTCTATTAATGCCAAAAACAGGTGGAATCAAGGGGCCGGGGGGAGAGGGGGGGGGGGGGGGCAGGGAACGGAAGTGTGAAAATAATTGTACTATAAGAACATTTTTTTTAAATGATTATTTCGTGAGGTTGGTTAATACGTGCGCGCTGTATCATTAGGTCTGTTATTGAGTCAACTGGCGTGGTTCTGATCCCGGTTGTACGTGACAAGGAGTAGGGTCACCTGTCCAACCTCGTGGGTATTCTCCGGGTCCCCCGGTTTCCTCCCATAGCTAAATCGAATTATTGAAATAAATTTGAACCATGAGTTAGTCCCGCACTGACCTAGTTTGTGTTTATTGAACGTTAAACCCCATCTCTCTCTCTCCCTCCCTCTCTCTCTCCCTCTCCCTCTCTCTATCTATCCCCCTCTCTCCCTCCCTCTGTCTGTCTCTCTCTCTCTCTCTCTCTCTCTCTCTCTCTCTCTCTCTCCCTCCCTCCCTCTCTCCCTCCCTCTCTCCCTCTCTCTCTCCGTCTCTCTCCCTCCCTCTGTCTCTCTCTCTCTCCCTCCCTCTCTCTCCCCTCTCTCTCTCTCTCCCTCCCTCTCTCCCTCCCTCTCTCTCTCTCTCTCCCTCCCTCTCTCTCCCCTCTCTCTCTCTATCTCTCTCTCCCTCCCTCTCTCTCCCCTCTCTCTCTCTATCTATCCCCCTCTCTCCCTCCCTCTGTCTCTCTCTCTCTCTCTTTGTTGCTTTGTATTTATGTTAGATAACAGGATCTAAAGTCTTCGTGTAGGGTTCAAAACTTCGTGAATCATACTTCATCATTAAAAATGGTATATTTACGAATGGTGAAAATCTACTTGTTTTGGGGATTTCATATATTGAAATTTAAATCAAGCCATACCGGATCATAAAAGTGGTTTTCCAGTTACTATGTATTCATAACACGATATCTTGAAGAAATTTAAACATATGTGAAGTGGTGTATGGTGTATTGTGAGATAATAAAGTTTAAAAGATGTTATTTGTTTACTGGTCTCTGACTATATTTACCTTATGGGCTGTAAAATATTAAATATTTTAAAAGTAGGATGCTTAGTATATTGAAGAGGGTAGTAAAAATAAATATCCACATTTACGGAATGAGAACTTAACACAATGAGGAACCATAAAATCCCTATAGGGCTATAGCGGATAATCTTTTCAAAAAATTTTGTTTAGTTTGTCGAATGCTTTAATGTTCAGATATTATTTTATTCTACAGGTGGTATTGCATAGTCAGAAATCGACGCAGCCAAAAGATGTGCGGTTATTTCCCTAGGGGTATAAATCAGCGTTCAGTTGTCTTCATTAGCCCAGGTTAGGAGCAGAACAGTAGGACGTTAAACTCCATTTCATTTCATTTCATTTAAAACTTCAGACAATTTCCGATGGAAAGAGAGAGAGAGAGAGCGAGAGAGAGAGAGAGATGGGGTTTAACGTTCACTCGACACAAACCAGGTCATTTCGGGACTAACGAATGGTTCAATTTGTATTTCAATAATTCGCTTGCGCGTAGGGGTCTTTAGCAGTGGGAGGAAACCGGAGAAAACCCAATAGGTTAGACAGGCGACCCCACTCCTTGTCATGTACGACCGGAAATCGAAATCACGTCAGTTAACTCAATGACAGACCTTATGATACAACGCGAACGCGCTAACTATTCGGCCATACGGCTATCCAACCACGCGAAGTAGATATAGACAACCCGTCTTCATTGGTGCACAGCGTAAGATGTTAAAACCCGTCTTATTCTAATAACTATTTATTGAAAACCTACAGGGTTCGGTGATTTTCTTTTTATCGTCTTTACAGCCATTTATGCATAGGGTGTACGATTTCTATATTTGCATGATAAAACATTTTTTTGTTGACGTGTAGACCACAGCCTATATAACCATAGATGCATATAGAAACGTCAAATATTGGTTGCTTTGAGTGTTACAAACAGCAACGATTAGTGAATAAGATTTCTCTATTGATCCTAGTTTTAGTAGAAACATCCCGTGTCGTGGAGTACAGTTGATTTGAGTTTTGGAGTTCTACATATATTTACCAGTTGTATAATAAAGGTCAATGTCAGCTCAAATGTCTCCATTTTATAAACAATATTCTATTCATAAATGAAACGGATCGGGGAACACGCATGACCTATTCATCACATCTCTTAATTATCTCTTTTAAAGATAGAATGCAGCATGAGGTCAGCAATTCTCCACTCCTATCTTTACCAATAATAGCTTGATAGGGGTTATCGTCCGCCCCTCTCTCGGGTGATAACATAAACAGGGTGTTCCTATTGTAGGTAGAATTCATAAAAGTTTCTTCATAATTTTTTTTAAATTACCCCTGTTTAGACTATAAATATCGGTCATATTCAGAGAAATAGATCTTAATGGAGACAATCTGTTCTTAATGCGCCTGCCTTTGACTCAATCGGATTAAAATACAGATCTATATTTCGTTTCGTTTTTTTATATTTTCGATGGCCTACCCTAACCTACCCTAATGTAGTACAGACAAATAAAACGAAATTTTGAAATATAAAAACGAAACGAAATAGGATCTGTGTTTTAATCAGATTCCCTTGGTAGGGTGACCCACCATAAATAAATATCTCCAAATATCTCGACAATTACGCCACAATATTTATATATATGCCAAGCCTCAAATCAGTTTCACACAATTATAGTCACTAAATAAAGGATCATGTTGTACTTAATAAGCTATGACCATTAATCATCTATAAATAATAGACTGAAAACTGGTTCCAAGTTGCGTCCATAACATCCAGACACTTTTGAGTAAAAGATAGGTTACGTGCCCTTGTTTTGAAATTAGTCTCGCTTAACCAGTCTATCGACCATTCTACGTCTGATTGACAGGTCGGGATAATCAAGACTACTTTTTTACGAAACATAACAGAAAGCTAGAACAAGAAATTGAATTTAGAAATAAGCACTTTAGACAACTCAACAATTGTTTTAAGAAACTTGTAAAAGTAAAATGAAACTACTGCTAGTATCATGTTCCTGCTAAAGAAAGTGATTCAGAGATAGTATTTGTACTAAACCAAAAGATGCCGCTCTTAACGGTACAGTTAATGATAAAGCAATTTAAAAAATAAAACAAACGTAATTACTAAAGCTGCTGTAATAACCAAGAAGCTAAATTTTACTGCTATTCAAAATCGTCAACAATAGATTTTTTACGGCTGTAATAGTTGATATATGCCATGGCTATTTATCGACTCAAAGCGAGTGCGGGGTAGTCAGAAATCAGTTCGAGACACGCAACTGAAGCGTGCACATTTAGCCGTGTCGAGACCAACTTTCTGTAAAGTGCACGGGTCATCCTACCCTTGGACTACTTTAGAGATTTGCAAAAAATAACACCTGAAGCGATTTATCTGTGGTTACGGAAAACGAGCTAATATAAAGAGAGATAGAGAGAAATGGGGTTTAACGTCCACTCGACACAAACTAGGTCATTTCGGGACTAACATATGGTTTGATTTTATTTACATAATTCGCTTGCGCGTAGGGGTCTTTAGCAGTGGGAGGAAACCGGAGGACCCGGAGAAAACCCACGAGGTTGGACAGGCGACCCTACTCCTTGCCACGTACAACGGGGATTCGAAACCATGCCAGTCGACTCAATGACAGACTTTATGATACAGCGCGCGCACGCCAACCATTCAGCCATCCAACCCCCCAGCAAATATAAAGCAAACGTGACGTAACAGACATTTTATGAAAATACTCCATAAGGAGCCTACATTTGTTAAAACCGCCCGATTTATCATATAATATGATCACAGAGAGAGAGAGAGAGAGAGAGAGAGAGAGAGATGGGTAGGCGTAACGTCCATTGAAACAAACCAAGCCATTTCGGGACTAACATATGGTTCAATTTTATTTCAATAATTCGCTTGCCCGTGGGAGGAAACCGTAGGATCCAGAAAAAACCCACGAGGTTAGACAGGCGAATATGGTTAAAGGTAATTCAATCTGACCAATCAGGCTAACATCGTGTATATTTCCACAGTCCATGGGCTATCAGTTTACAGCTTTATACAAATGTTTTATTAAGATAAGAATAATAAAAATTGAGGGCTCTAAAATACTTTATAGTATATCTTTATTTCTCCATCTTTACATAAATTAAATATCCAATAAAACCCTTTATCTAAATGTTCGAAGCAAAAGCACGATTATCATGACTTAATTTTGTAGATTTCAGTTCTATACCATGGTTATTAATAATAGATACAGTAGACTGGTTAATCGGCTGTTCCGGTTTGATTGCGTATTTGCCGGTTCTATCCTCCGGTTTAAGTGGTCCCCATTCCGGCGTTGGCTGACTTGCTTTCTTCACTGACTATAATTAGAATGAAATAAATAAGCATGTACAAATAACAAATAAACGTGGATTTATTTTTTATTGTTTTAAATTAAACGTACATTAAGCAAGAGCTAAATCTGTCTATTTCAGGTCTTTCTTTAGGCCTGAAATGTTTTCTAAATTATTAATTAGACATTTATTAACTTATCCAGACCATAATCAACTCTCGATGTCATCGCTAGCCTTCGATATCTATTTGATTATGATCCGATTTGCTGCTAAACTTTCATTCATAATTTAATCATGAAGTTGACAATCAAGACTATGTTTTTTTTTATCGTACCGACTATAGTAATGATGATCGAAGCTAGGCCGAAATTTGAATCGCTTAATTCTCGGTTTATAGTGGATCAATGTGACTGAAATTTTCAGCAAATTGCATTTACATTATCTAGTTTTTAACTATTATAGTGAGAACTGCCAACTCTTTATCTAATCTCCCATAATGTATCTTTAAACAAGAACCTAGTGAGTATATATTAAATTAAAGACACAAGATATCGTCGGTGGAACGGTTACTTCTAAATGATAAGGCCAGCTCAATTTTTCGTCATAGGACACGAGATATAAACAGGGCTAGCGCTAATCACAACACTAATCCTAACCCTGGACCTAGCCCCAATGCTTACCCTAACCTTATTTACATCTCAACAACCTTGACAAAAATTGAGCTGACCATAACAAATAGATTTAGCCCAGTGGAACAATCTTTCGGTCAAACTGTTCAAACTCGTGTCCATCAAAATTCAAAGTGACGAAATATCCATGCCATAATTATTTCTTAATGTTTGCCTTTAACGAGGGATTTGATTGTTTTCTTAAAGATACATTATGTAAGATTTAGATAAAGAGCTAGCCATTCTTGCTATAATAGTTCAAAAATAGATAATGTAAAATGAATAATTTCAAAATTCCATTCAAATTACTCTTTTGCGAGCGAAGATTTTAGCCTTTGAAGGTTTGACAAGACGTGTGCCATAATTGCAACCACCGTACTGGTTGTTCGAAGCTAAGTCTCGCTCCTCCATTTTTAGCTTAAACCAAAATATGGCTGAACTGTTCTAATCTATTTAATATCGAATAAATGTCTAATTAATAATTTAGAAAACATCTCAGGACTACAGAAAGCCCTGCATCTGCAATAGGCAGATTTAGCTCTTGCATAATGTATGTTTAATTCATTTCTATTCAAATGTAGGTTAAACTCAATTCATTTCTGTCTACGCGTTATAGTAAAATAAGACAATGTACAAGTCTATCTATTAGCTTAAATGTCGACATAAAAGTATAAAAGTGTCAATACCAAGCCCCCTGATATCAAAGTGGTTGAATTGGCCTGAAGCTGCGTTCACGCTGGGGGTTTAATCTGAATTGAATTCGGAATAAAGTCTTATTCCGGATTTTGGCGTCACACCCAATTCGCTAAAAACAGAACTGAATCGGAATTTACGAATCCGTATATTTTTCCGAATTCCACCCGGAACAATTATTCTGAATCGGGTTATTCGTAGTCAAGATTTGAGTGCGGCACGCTTGATTCAGATCAACGGTTTTACCGGAAACTCTAACTTTGTGCGCATGTTCACTTCTACTTCCGTCTTATCGCGTGAATTCGTGTATTTATGAAACTGATGTTATGGCAAATAACCTAGGCCTATGTTCGTCTTTATAAGCTAACAAAAGAGTAATCATCCGCATTCGCATTTGATTCTGGTGCCAACGAAATGGTGCCCGGTGCTGCATGGCAAGGTGCCGAAGATGGAAGACCCGACGTCGCTGGTGTAGCCTTGCTTGCCTCAGCAAATTAAACATAAGCAACACAAGATCACCAATACGAATGGCTGGATATGAATGACCTTCACTGCGCATTCAGTGTGGCGCTTTTCATTTTGAATTCAATCCGAATAAGGTGTAATGTGACGTACCGCTTTTAATCCGGGACAAACCAATCCGAATTCCGGAATTCGCATTGAATGCGCATGCAGTGTGAACACAGCTTGAGAGGGAGACGATGTACCTTAATACTATTCAGCCCTATCTAGATCGGGTTTTTATGGCAAAGCTGGCCCAACTGCGTCCGCACGCCATCTCCTCAGCGGTCCATATTAGGTATTACCCTACACCACTTGTACCACGGTGCGTTCACACTGTATGGAAATTGAATCCAATGTCCGTCGACCAGCCCCGCAATTCGGTTGGGTTTGTCTCGGATTAAAAGTGGTGCGTTCACATTACAACTTATTCGGATTATTGACACGACATTTATCATGGTGAACTTTGCGAAGAAAGTGATCGACGAAAGAACCTTCAGATGTCAAGGGCTACGTTCGGGGTGATTTGTTCCGGATTTAATTCGGAAAAATATCTGAACTCGTCATTTCAGATGCAGTTCAGTTTTTAACGAAATGAGTTCGATGCCTAAATCTGGAATAAGACTTTATTCTGAATCCACTTGATGAAATGGTCTTTAAAATCACAACTGACAGTATTGACATTGCGCCTTAATCAAGAAAATGGAGGTTTCTCTAGGAAACAATTGTCTACGATAGATATCACCTTAGGTGATTAAAGGACGTTAATCCCGTCGAACTACCACAGATTAATGTCAATCTTACCCCGTATCTGTAACTTTGGATGGGCATCATTATCAAGATAAGGAAGAATGGTAAAGCCACCATAACCCAACCCAGGTTCTGTGCCCAGGGTTCAAACTGATAATTATCATAAGAAGCTGGACTACTCTGAACAGCTGCCATTATCAACATCAACTAATAACAACATACAAAAAAATACATTTTAGGTACAAGTATTGCAAAACTAAGAACCCGAGTAATTCTCATTTTAGGTAACAAACACTAAGAACCCGAGTAATTCTAATTTTAGGCAACCCGAGTAATTCTCATTTTTAGGTAACTAAGACTAAGATCCCGATTAATTCTTCATTTTAGGCAACAAAAACCAAGATCGCGAGTAATTCTCATTTTAGGTAACAATCAAAAACTAAGAATCCGAGTAACTCTCATTTTAGGTAACAAAAACCAAGATCGCGAGTAATTCTCATTTTAGGTAACAATCAAAAACTAAGAATCCGAGTAACTCTCATTTTAGGTAACAAAAACTAAGATCGCGAGTAGTTCTTAATTTAGACAACAAAGGCTCTTAGGAACCAACAAACTCCTGAAGAAAAAGAAATTACCACGCTCTCCCCAATGATAATCATGCAAATTATAAGCGATCGTCGGTATTATCAAGTCATTAATATTCAATTTAACAATGGAACTTTGAAGTGGTGAAGGGGGATGGGCGAATAGTTAGCGCGTGCGCGTTGTATCACAAGGTCTGTCAACTGGCGTGGTTTCGATTCGACGGTGGTACGTGACAAGGAGTATGGTCGCCTGTCGAACCGCGTGGGTTTTCTCCGAGACCTCCGGGTCCTCCGGTTTCCTCCCACTGCTAAAGACCCCTACGCGCAAGTGAATTATTGAAATAAAATTGAACCATATGTTAGTACCGAAATGACCTAGTTTGTGTCAAGTGGACGTTAAACTCTCGTCCCCTAGACACACCTGGTTAATCGAATATGTTCTTACTTACAATGATGGCTACTGGTGCTATGATTAACCAGGTAGCTTTCCAATAGAAATGCACCTTAAATCCCAACATAATCTCCACATCATCGCAGTAATTCTTCAGACCTTCAACATAAATTAAAGAAAGTATGTACTAAAACTTCTTTACCATTAGTGACACCCCGGGTATATCCTTAAGCCTAGCCCACAACGTACGTGTTTTGACAAGCACAGGTCGCGGGGTTTGGCAGCTTCCAGGACCAGCAGTCTCTACGGTCAGTCTGCGAAATTCTACGGTGCCGAACACACGCAAAGTTTTGCTGCTTAATATCTTGTAACACAGTCGATTAGAGTTACAGTTTATCGGACTTTAGTACTTATTTTCTTGCATGAATCAATCAACTGAAATCAATTGACTTTGTCCACATCTGGTAAGACGCAATGGGTTTCGTCTCGTTTTTACCAAACACAAAGAGTTATGTAACTTGCACACAACTTGCCCATTTTGCAATTAGTACACTACAGAATTGACCTACCATATACCCAAATAACTGCCATTAGTTCCGCTAAACATACACCCATTAAACCAAAACTAGCACTATACCATTCCATTAACGTCAACACCCAGATTCCTCCCTATAACATAATTACAATCAAATTAAAATCGTTTTTCGTTTTATATTCCGTATTTGATGTTTTACCGGGCGTAATTTTACATACCATCTGACTGGTTTATCAACTGTGCCACGTTTTTACACGTGTAGGCCTAATATTCAACAAACACGCAACAGTTCTTTGAACTGATCTACTTATAAACATACTGAAGTCTCGTGTATAACCCAGCTGATGGCCGGTCAGTATATGCAATGTAGACAATTAGAATCATAAGGAGAAAACGACAAAATGTCGTAATATCGCGTAAAAACGCCGTATTGTCGGGTTAAAATGTCGCGATGTTGGGTTGTCGCCTTATAAGTAAGGGCACCGCGACATCACGACATGATACTGTTACACATTACCCGAAAATACTACAGATCCAATACTCTATAAATTGCGGTAAGATACAAACCTTAGTAACTAATGGAATTCCCAGAATAAAACCCATGAAATGACAGAAGATGGCGAATTTGGTTCTTCTTGGTCGTAAGTAATGAGGAAATTGATCTACGCCAGCACTTATTACAACTTCAAACATGGCAAACTACAATTAAATGGTAAAATGTCAATCTTTTTAAATTTTAGGAGAGACAGACTGACAGACAAACACAGAGATAATCAGTTCTGTTGGGGACTGACACATGGCACTTCTTTATTTCAGTAATTCGCTTTCACGCTGGGGTCTTTAGAAAGCCCACGAGGTTAGAAAGTTTACCCTCCTCCTTTACGAAATGAAATGAAATGGGGTTTAATGTCCTACTGTTCTACTCATAAACAGGGCTAATATGCCAATATATACACGAGTCCTCCGTTTTTCGTCCTATCCGAACGACTAGACAGTTTTCCTTGTCAGGCCTTCCGCCCTGCACCACTGACAAGAGGAAATCAAGCCGGACTTTATGTTAGCACCTTTAAGTTTAACTACAGGGTATTTATCACAATAGATCCGGATTATTATCCAAAATAACACATATTTAACGGTTTTCAATGAGACCATAACGATTTCCTTGACATCATAACAATCTGATATTTCTAGTTTTTTAAAATCACAAAACATTTATTCAATACCCATTATTGAGTTTTAGGTGCATTTTCCTTTCTAAAAGAAAAATTGTGCAATATAACCATAAATAGATTCAAATAACTTCTTTATACACCATATTCTTTATCATTATGTTAAACTTTGAGACGGATTTAAATATTCGAACGTATAATTTTAAGGTCACAAATCCTCTTCTTTTTTTTTTCTTTTTTTTTGCAAGATAAAAAGTTACTACATGTGAATTGGTTATAACCGAGAAATCGCTATATAAATAAGATTTGCGAAATAAAAGTGACTACATGTGAATTTGTTTTTTGGGGTGTTTTGTGTTTGTTTTTTTAAACAAAGTGACGATGCGAATTTGTAGTTACCGAGAAATCGGTATTTCAATATAAAAAATAAAAGATATATCATAGATTCAATGTTAATTCAGTACAAACAAGTCATTTTGTGGTAAAGGGAGTTGTATCTGACTGATAGCTTATCCTCAAGTGTCAAGACAATGGCAAGGAGAGTTTACTATTGTTTTTATAAGCCATTTAGATCTGTATCTGGCTAGAGATTGGGGAACAGGGATAGTCTGTAGTATTAACCCCATCTTCCTATATTTTATTTTTGGACTTGCTGTGAATTAACAGCTGTATTGTGCTTATGATTCGGTTTGACCCTTGGTCATGACAGTACGGACAGTAGTCTCCCCAACCCGTTGTTTCCGGGTCATGAAACATATAATTTCTGTTGCACTATGTTTTGTGGTTGAATTAGGAGACTTAATTAACACCAACGGATAATCCGTAAAATCAAACATCTAGGACGACAAAAATCATCAGGCTTATCTAACGATCAGAGAGAGAGAGAGAGAGAGGAGGGGGGGGGGGGGAAGTAAGGTCTACTCGACACAAACTAGGCCATTCCGGGACTAACATAATAATATGTTCAATTTTATTTCAATAATTCGCTTGCGCGTAGGGGTCTTTAGCAGTGGCAGGAAACTGGAGGATGCGGAGAAAACTCACGAGGTTGGACAGGCTACCCTACTCCTTTTCACGTACAACCGGGGAATCAATATGACAGACCATATGATACAACGCGTACACGCTACCCCCCTCCCCCCTCCCCGATCAGATGTCAGGCGAGATACTATTAATCTATTTTGAGAGAGAGAGAGAGAAATGGGGTTTAACGTCCACTCGACACAAACTAGGTCATTTCGGGACTAACATATGGTTTAATTTTATGTACATAATTCGCTTGCGCGTAGGGGTCTTTAGCAGTGGGAGGAAACCGGAGGACACGGAGAAAACCCACGAAGTTGGACAGGCGACCCTACTCCTTGTCATGTACAATCGGGGATTCGAAACCAAATCTATTTTGAACGTCCAGCTCTTTATCAAAATCTTGTATAGGGCCCTTTTAAGAATTGGTCGATTTTAAATTTATTTTATTTATTATTTTTTTTTCGAGTGGGGGGGGGGGGACACTTTTGTTCTCAGCAAGAGTAGTTTAGACTGTGTAATACTATGGTCTACACTGACTTTCATTTTGTTTTTGGGTGCTTTATGAGGGTATTTACGGTAGTTAGATAACAGGAGTAGAATATAGGTAGGGTGTAGAATAATGTTCTAATTATCTCGTTCTGCTTTAAAAACCTATTCACACCCACTTTTATGATGACTTTAAACCGCACAAAGGAAATGTTTATCATCTTAAAATGACCTATTTGATCGTTTAGATCCATCGTTTATCGTATTTTAATGGTTGTCTACCTCAATCCCTTCATGTTGGAATTTGTACTCTACTATCTAAACCTGTCTTGATTACCCCAGTCGGGACATAACAGTAGGGCGCTAAACCCTAATTCATTTCATTTCATTTCAATATTTAATATTAATTTTTTTATCAATTTTAAATCATGTAATAAATAGTGTGTATATAAATTATTTCATTTATATGATTTTCACCATTATGTTATAATATGTACATCCCGTCTTCATTAGCCCAGTTCGGAGCAGAACAGTAGGACGTTAAACCCCATTTCATTTATAATATGTTAACAGGAGATCTGTATATTATATGTTTTATATTCCGTGTATGAGGAGAGGGGTGATATAGGCTATACCCGTTCCCCAATCAGTTTTCAATCCATTTGAAATAAAATATTGCTTTCAAACAAAAAACATCATTGCATTTTCTACTGTCAAAAATCCCGAATTTTGCCCAAAATGTCAGTATATCCTTGCTTCACGCCCAGTATTTTACAAATTAAAATAGGCCTACATATTCACAAATAGGCCTATATATTCACAAATAATTCGCGTCACTTCATGCGATGTTGAAGCATCTTTGTATCGATGACAATTAGACTAGTTTAAGCATATGGCTTTTGCAGACGGAAAAGGAGAAATTCAAATTCTATCAGAGTGCTCGTTCGTTCGTTTATCCATTCGTTCGTTCGTGGGGAATACATAGGGTAATATCACAGACTAGTGTTTCCCAATGAACTTGTAGGTGATACGTTAAGGATAGATGCGCGATTAGGAAATACATTAAATACAGCGTCATGGAGTCTTTTGCATTCTATCAGAGAAGCTTATATGGAGGTGATGATTCTCCTATATCTATATATTAATGAATTAATTCAACCCTACCACCCTACCAGAAATCTTCGTTCCGAAACTAAGTACCTTATTAAATTAGTAACTGCAAACTTCTTTTGGTAGACGCTCCTTCGATTTTGCGGCAGCAGCACTGTGGAATTTTAATGATGTTCCTATAGAACTCAAGCACTGTGCATCAATTGACAGTTTTAAAAGAAATCTTATAACCCCTTTATTTAGAAACGTTTTCTTTTAACTGTTGATCGCGTACTCCTTTTAACTAGTGTTTTTCTTTTAATTGACCATAATGTTACCAAAGAGCAGCTTCGGTTGGATTTTAGGACTCTATTATTATTATTATGTTTAACTAACCATACTGTCAAGCCCGACAGCGATCAGCATAAAGAAGAAGAGGAAAGCCCAAACAGGTGCTACAGGCATTCGACCAATGGCTTCTGGATAGACAATAAATACCAATCCAGGACCTGCAACAAAAACATGATGACATAACTGTTTTAAATCACCCCTTCTAGATCACGGGATAGCATGTTTTAAATCACCTCTTCTAGATCACGGGATAGCATGTTTGGTTGGCACTGCTCATCATTTCTGTTTTCATTTTAAGCAACCTAACTGAAACCCTTTTACCAATTATCATGCCTGTTCTTTCGGGAACACTCAGCTGCATCAAGTCACTCAGCTGCATCAAGTCACTCAACTGCATCAAGTCACCCAACTGCATCAAGTCGGTTTAGCTAAAACGTTTTCAAAGTTTCTAAAGTTAATCAATAACTAAATCATTTTTTGAACGTAATAATTTTTGGAAAAATAAAGAAAATACGTGAAAATTTGACCGGTTGTAGAGCAAGGTCGCGTCAGAGGTCATACGAGCTGCTTTTGACCCTATGACGTCAGGCATTTGATTAACCAATCAGTGTGGATGTTTCTAGTGGGATACCCACAGTTCCGTGCACCGCACGCCAAGATCTCACCACAACAGACCGTTTCATTGGCTAATCCCTCACATCATCCTGAACGTGAGTTATATAACAATTCTTCCAGATCCCAATGTAGTAAAGACAAGTAAAACGAAATTGTGAACTATAAAAAACGAAACGAAATAGGATCTGTGTTTTAATCAGATTGCTAATATTTGGTATAATTTTTGGTAGATATGCTAAACAGTTAAGTAAATAATGAAAGATGTGTGACCCCTGGCCCTGTGTGTTTGTAATTTTTGAATTGAATAAAAAGAAGACACCAACCACCAACAGCCACGTCTTCAATATCTTGATTTGTAGTATGTGCCATGAAACCTAAGACTGAGAATATAATAAATCCAGCAAATATACTGGTACCACAGTTAATCATAGATACCACAACAGCATCTCTGAAATATAATTAAATTTAGGAGAGAGAGAAAGAGAGAGAGAGACAGACAGACAGACAGACAGACAGACAGAGCGAGATGGGGTTTAACGTTCACTCGACACAAACTAAATCATTTCGGGATTAACATATAGTGCAATTTTATTTCAATAATTCGTTTGCGGGTAGGGGTCTTTAGCAGTCGGAGGAACCCGGAGAAAACCAACGAGATTGGACAAGTGACCCTACTCCTCGTCACGTACAACCGGGGAATCGAAACCACGCCAGTTGACTCAATGACAGACCTTATGATACAACGCGCACGTGCCATCCAACCCCCGCAATTATTAAATTTAGGAAATTATAATTTGTTATCTTGAATTCTGTTAAAGGATAGAGCCAAACAGTGTTTAATGGAACGTCGACACCAAACGGGCTATATTGTATTACAAATGGTGACCTTTAAGAGATAGACAGAATGGAATTCACATAAATCTACATATAGATAGTAAAATAAATAGCACATGGTTAATATCTAAATTTTATGATCCATTGATGAAATAGATATTTATGTTTCTAGTGTTCACGCGCGGACAAACCGTCTCAAGTTATCTCCCGTGATCCGTATTGATTAGGAACGCGAATAAAATGAAGACGGGCATACGCCATACAGTTAGCCATGAGGGGGCTTTTGCACGTACAGCGGCATTATGGCCTACTCTTATATCGAATTCCAACTGCCAAGGGATATTTTACGCACATGCCAATGTATACACGGGATCTCGGTTTTTCGTCCCATCCGAACGACTATACAGCTGTCCTTGTCAGGCCCTCCGTCCTGCACCACGTCTGCAAACCCGATGAAATTTCTAGGCCAATGCAGGGATCGACCACGCAATCTCCAGGCTAGCAAGCCGGCGTCTTACCCACTTAGCCCCCGTGACTCCAAGAACGCGGGAACACGAGAGATCTTTGTGGTTGACTTTTATAATAAATTATATCAAATATACGTATAGAAAATGGCCTACCTATGACAGTTGTGTTTAAAATCATTATAACTAGCCATAGTGATCCAAATGCTGGAGCCATCGAATAAAATATTTGTGTTGCTGCTTGACACCAAACCTAAATTTATTAAACATTAAAAATAAATTAAAAATTACACACAAATGTTCCAGTTAGCTTGTTCCAGTGTTGTCTACTCGTATAGCATATAGTCCACAACATTCATCTCCATGAATAGTTAAATGGATCAACAGTTTGGACATGGATCACAACTAAAACGAAAGCAGTCTTATACGAAGAATGAAAGTGTGGGTGGGTGCGTGATGGGGGGGGGGGGGGTGATGGCCGAATGGTTAGCTTGTGCGCGTTGTATCATAAGATCTGTCATTTAGTCGACTGGCGAGGTTTTGATTCCCCGGTTGTACGTGACAAGGAGTAGGGTCGTCTGTCCAACCTCTTGGGTTTTCTCCAGGTCCTCCGGTTTCCTCCCACTGCTCAAGCGAATTATTGAAATAAAATTGAACCATATGTTAGTCCCGAAATGACCTAGTTTGTGTCCAGTGGACGTTAAACCCCCATTTCTATCTCCTCTCTCATATGAAGTATCCATGACACTAAATTTGGACACAAATCAAGAACATTAAGAGTATTCTACAATGCTCTATTGAATAATATTTTTTGGACCAGGAAAGCCCCCCCCCCCCCAACGCCACTCATCTAGTTGTTCTTGCTGTTGTTCTAGAAGGCGACACTCTTTAAAAAATGTCTAAGAATCCGCCAATTTAAGTGCAATCGACAAAATCTTGGCATGGTTGTTCCAATCACAATAAAATGTACATGGAGTTCCATTTTTGATATAACGTCACAAGTTCAAGATGGCGGCGATGACATCACAACCGGTTTCTGAAATATAGCGGGTCCGTGCTTGTTTTTTCTTATCCAATTCACAAATTGGTATAAACTAAATTAATTTACTTACATCCACATCTAATAACTTTTCCCATTTTGGTATAATATAGAATTTAATCCCCTCCATGTAGCCATCTAAAGTCACTCCCCTTACCAATAAACATATTAAAATAACGTAGGGGAAGGTAGCCATAAAATACACAACCTATAAAAAAAGCGTTGATTGAAATGTATTTTCAAGTGTTAAAGTATACAATGTTACTTTGCATAAGATGTTAAAAATGTTAATATTTTTTTTTTTATAAGCAATATTTTATTTAGATTTGTATCTGAATAGGGATTGGGGAACAGACATAGCCTATATTAAACCCCTCTCCCTATCAGATATAGATGGGGGGGGTTGGGATGACCTCTAGTTGGCCGGTCACCTCTGGCTGGCGGTTGTGGTTTCGATCCCTGGTGTGAGCGTATGTGGCTTGGAGATAGGGGCGCCTTCTCAACCTCGTGGGTTTACTCCGGGTAACGTGTTTTTCAAAAAGTATTTTACGTTAAAATGGGTTTTTAACGTTAGTTCGGACATTTAAGTCTCGAAATTGGGCCACTGCTTCACTATTTAAAAAAAAAGGAAAATATATGAAAAAAAACATATAATAAGTACCTTCCCCGATGTCTTTACTCCTCGTTTTAAACAGAAAAACAACAGAATCCAACTTATAGCCAGAAATAAGACCAATTTAAGGCTAATACCACCAATATTTTCCAAATTCTCGGCTTCATGTAATTGTAGAACGAATCGCCTAGGAGTAAAATTATTACAGATTATTCACAAACACACGACATATGCGAACTGGTGATCCCGGAAATAACCTGCAATTTTAATGAAGTACACTCCGAAATAACCAAGAATTAAAATTTTCCTCTGAAGTATAATGAGGAATTATTGTATTAACGTTACGGGGATTAATCACTAACACGTGACCTGCGTCACGTGATAAAGGTTGGAGTTAGGACGTATTTCATTCTTATGATAGGCTGTAAAGTGTGTACTCTTTCTATATTGTTATCCCCTTGTCAGTGATGGAGGACGGAGGGCCTGACAACGACAGCTGTCTAGTCGTTCGGGTGGGACAAAAACCGAGGTCCCTATATACATTGGCGTGCACGTAAAAGATCCCTTGGCAGTTGGAATTCGATATAAGAGTAGGTCATAGTGCAAAATTTCCCTCATAGCACACTGTATGGTGATATGCCCGTCTTCATTAACCCAGGTGGAGAAGACAAGTAGGATGTTAAACCCCATTTTATTTCATTTCTGTATTGTAATCAGATTCACTTAAAGCCGAGGCGTTAAACATGGCGACCAATATAAAATTACAGTGTAGATTTACCTACGTAAAATATTCTTCACTTGGTAACTTATACAGATGCTTGAGGTTACAATCCGAGAAATTAGTTTGGGTAAGGTTAAAGGTCAGATCGTCCATACTAATACCAGATTCTTCTAGACTGTCGGACAAACACGTTGAATTCATCATATCTACAATGTTTTTAAGCAGAACATGTAAGAATGTCTCATATTTCTCTGTTATCGATTGGAAATATTTCAATCGCCGTGCGGTCGACAGCTTTGGCATTTTCACAGTCCACGTACTATTCCAGTATTGTGACCTTTTTGTATTTGGAGTTTGGTTGTCGTTTTAGAGTTGGTGGTACAAATATTTTACGAAGTTCAGGAAAAGTCTCATTTTAAATTTTCATGTATCAAGGACAATTTTATCTTAACATCCACACAGTAATTTAGAAACTTCAAGAAGTTCAGGATGTGGTGGACTGCTCTGTGACACATATTTCGAGTCCATTTCCCAGCAAGATGTCAAACGTAGAGCATATCACGGCTCAAACAAGAATAAAATATATTCAAATTAATTTTAAATCCAAGCTGATTAAAATACAGATCTATATTTCGTTTTGTTTTTTATACTTTAGATGGCCTACACTACATGAAGATCTGTTCGGTTGTAGTGGAAGGCTGTGGCTTTTGACCCTATGCCATCAGACATTGATTAATCAACCAGCATTGACATTTCTAGTGGGTTACCTACATTTTCGTGCACAGCACGCCAAAAACTCGCCGTAACAGACCGTTTCATTGGCTAATCTCTCACATCAATCAGAACGCAGGTTATAAAGACAAGTAAAACGAAATTTTAAACTATAAAAAAAAACGAAACGAAATAGGATCTGTGTTTTAATCAAATTGTTTTAAATCCAACATTATCGATTTAAATCTACATTTTGTAATGACCAACAAATCTTCAACCTCTCCAAAATGCCACTTTATTATCAGTTAACGACAACAAAGAGTTGTACCTACCCAGTGAGATGCGAAGCTTCTGGCTATCGTTCATGTTCTTCAATGATGGAACTGGTTCAGATATACAATATGGTGAGTTCCAGAAATTATTACAAGTTGTCCAAGGTAGGTTACCATCCATGTTTATCATAGATACCATTAAGTAAAACATACCATAGGCTATTATCACGTTATAATAGATACACACCATAGTAACTATGGCTACCATAGCTAAGCCTGTGCCTGGTGAATGCAGAAAGACGAAATGAATCCACAAAAATAGAGAGAGAAATGGGGTTTAACGTCCATTCGATACAAACTAAGTCATTTCGGTACTAACATATGGTTCAATTTTATTTACATAATTCGCTTGCGCATAGGGGTTTTTATAAGTGGACACGGAGAAAACCCACGAGGTTCGACAGGCGAGCCTACTCCTTGTCACGCACAACCGGGTCCACAAATACAATAATTCGCTAACGTAGACCCCCCCCCCCCGCGTTTGTTGGTCGATAAAGCCCATCGGGAATATTCGGTCGTGGTCTCCTCTTGTCTGTGGTGTAGGATGGAGAGCCTGGCAACGACAAACGTCTAGTCGTTCGGATGATATGAAAAACAGAGGTCCCGTATACACACGTAAAAGAGCCCCTTGTCATTTGGAATTCGAAATAAGAGTAAGTCACAGCACCGTATAACAAACTGCATTGTGTATGTCCGACTTCATTATCCCGGATGGAGCAGAAAAATATGACGTTAAACCCCATTTAAAAGTTAAATATTCCCGAAATACACATTATCAGAATGATCTCTAATATTTATAGTTTTAATTTCCTGCTCTTTTTTGTTTAAAACAAATTCTAAACCCAAATAATCTTACCCACAAATAAAGGATTGACTTTCCAGATTGATATTGGACCCATCGAAGCAAACTGGCCAAAACTCAACTCAAAAAAGAACATTGGTAAACCGGCAAGGAAACACATGATGGTATAAGGTATAAGGAAAGCACCTGCAAGACAAAACATCAAATATACTGAGACGTCATGAAAAGGCATCAGTGATTTGGTTGGAAGAGCTAGAGAGGAATAATGCAGATAAACTGTGATTTTTGAAATACAATCTTGAATTAACACAAAAGGGCACCTTCAGTGTTCATGTAGCAACCTTTGTATATCGCCGTATCCAGTGGCGGACTGGCCAGGTTGTCAGCTTGCCCAATGGCAAGTGGACCCCTGAGGAAGTGCCCCCCCCCCCTTAGACATTAGACAAAATATCTAAAATATATATTATCAAAAAATATAATGAAAACAAAATCGGGAAAATTCTAATTGCATCTTTTTTTTTGCTGTCACATATTTTTTGAAAATTTAATTTATTCATTTTAAAAATTAAATGATAGAATTGTATTGGTGGGTGGGTAACCAATATTTTCAGACCCACTCCGCCACTGGCCATGTCTTCTACACAACTCTAAGACTCTAGAAGTTGTACTAACCCTACCCTTTTTAAAGCACATTTTTTAACCGATCTCCACCTCTCAACATTCTCATACTGTTGAATTTGATATTTTGTTTTTGAGAAAATTGATCTGTAACAAGAATATATTGACGAGGTTATGGGATGTATATATTTCTCAGCTTGACCGATATGCCAGAATATGCTCGTTTATAATGTCTTCTTGGTGCATATTAAAATTTTAACATCGAAATTGGTAAAATATGGATATTTATCAACTAGACTGTTAGATGCATTTCATATGATATCACATTATTGTTGTTAACTCTTTAGAAATATATTTGGTCTAACACTAGAGCTGCTTTTTATTTAACACCACGAGTGGAACACATAGGACTGCTTTTCATTGTGGAACTTTGTCATAGATACATGGAATTTGATAAAATAACTACTATATATATGTTGACACAGTATCGTTTATCCTTCAGTACAAATTGTATTGTGCCATTTCGCCATGGCCAGCACATGAACTTCAATTTCAATATATTTTATGATGACATTATTGTTGTTATGTGGTCTAACCTAACCTAGTGTTACAGTTTTTATTTAAAACACCACAAGTAGAGGCTACGTTTCATCACCGTGTCAACTTGCTATTGTTATCCACCGATTTGACTTTGTATTTTGACTACAACAGATGGTGCTTTATTTTCATTCAGGGAAGCTGCTTTGAGTCGGGACTCGGATGAGACTTATATAATAAACATGGAATCTGATATAATAAACAGTATATGCTGACACAGTATCGTTTTTCCTTCAGTTCAAATTATGCCATTTGGTATTTGTGGTGCACCAACTCATTTCCAGAACATGAACATCAATTCCCGTAATATATATCAATCGAAAGAAACTAAAATTTTAATATCAAGAAAAACGTATTGTTATAGTCACACCAATTAAAATAAGCTGGCTGTGTCCGTTTCTTATATCTCGAAGAAACAAAAACATTATTTAACTTACCACCTCCATTTCTGTAACATAGATAAGGAAATCTCCAGATATTTCCCAAACCAACAGCATATCCAACACATGACATGAAGAAATCTAGTTTACCACCCCAATTCCCTCTTTCTGGTTCCTCGGTACCTTCCGGAACAACTTCTTTCTTCTCTTCCACCATTGTAGACCCTAGATATGTGGTCACGTGCCTCCTCAAAATGAAGTCACACTATTAGAAGTTTGAAATGTCTTTAAAGAACTTGTGATTTTGAAATATTACTACCTATAAAGTTTATTTTTGAAAGTAAAATTATTTTGAATAAAATACATCTTTGAAAGTAAAATTATTTTGAATAAAATACATTTTTTAATTCCGTTGTGATTTTGAAATATTACTAACTACAAAATTTATTTTTGAAAGTAAAATTATTTTGAATAAATACTTTTTAAGTACCTCGGATAAAGTCCGTTGTGATTTTGAAATATTACTAACTATAAATTTATTTTAGAAAGTAAAATTATTTTGAATAAAACTACCTCAATCAAAGTCCGATGTTAAGTGTATAATAATACCTTTGTTCACTCGTAGATAAATTCTAAGATTGTCATTATCTTTATTAAAGTAATGAATATATTCACCATAATTTGTCTGGTGTTGAATATGAAGTAGATATAAATAAGGTTATTAAGCATAATATGGACATGTTTTCACATAATATTATAAACCGACGAGAAAAAACTATACAGCCCCTTTTAACGTTTTAAAGGGAAACTCTGCTAGTTTTATTTATTGCTGTATGAAGATACCATAAAACCGCTTTCCACACTGGTATGGAATTTCTACCAGCCTTAAAATGTTGTTTGTTTGATGATAACAGATATCCGTTCATCATTTTACTCTCACAGAAAAGACAACGTTAAGATATAAATGATTGAGTGCTCATATGTTTATCCCGATTTCGGTTCTTTTTACGTGATATGGTTCACATTATTCACGGGATAGATTCATCTTCTTATTTAGTGACGTAGTTCACATAATTCACAGTATAGATTCAACTTTTCAATAGTGACTTGATTCACAGTCCTCGTCTTCTCATTTAATGACGTAGTTCACATATTTCACAGTCCTCGCCTTCTCATTTAGTGACGTAGTTCACATAATTCTCAGGATAGAGTTCACATAATTCACAGGATAGATTCCTCACCACATTTAGTGACGTAGTTCACATATATTGTTCAATGACAGCCAGTAATTTGACTGTAGATACACAGGAAACAATTCTATCAAATATAATTACACTGTTTATTGCTGAGCGACGTTGCTATCAAATACAATTACACTGTTTATTACTAAGCGACGTTGCTATCAAGCAATACGTAGGGTAGCTCATACACTGAACAAATTATATGAGGGGTTAACATGACTTGTGTAATTTTGAACAGTCATGCTTCCAGCTTTGTGCGTGTGTTTAATGGTTAAATTACATATGGACAGATACATTATAATTATAAGATAACGGTTATTTGCACTACTTCTGTGTCACTCATCTTATGCGTACCAGCACCGTAAACCCATTGCGGATAACAGGATGAAATCAAGCCACTGTGTGTGAAATAACTTTATTTAACGCCCACTTCCATCGAGGTGATATCGCAGCCACTTTCTAAGCATTGTTATTTATGATACCACTTCTCATGAAATACATATAGCTAACAATTTCACGTTTGTAAGTTTCCAGAAACTTGAGCCATTTGAGAGGTGTGGTAAATGACAACACGGCATTCCCTACAGAACATTTGGTTCGAGAAGAGAACCCGGACAGTAGATACAAATGATACAGATGAACCAATTTTTGTATTGAAATATGCGATACAGATTAACCGTAAAGATTCAGTTTAAATATGGGATACAGATTAACGATTAAGGATTAATTTTAAATAAAGCACCCCCTCCCCCCTGCCCCACTAAAAAACAACAACAACAATCTCAGATTTTTTCTCTATCAATAGTTTTTATTGTTAAAATATGGCACAAAACAATACTATTCTCTATATAATCTATCAACAGCAATCTAAAGATGAAACTTTTAAATTTATTTTTCAAAAAAAGATTAATAACCCAGAAAACATAAAAAAAAATTATAATAAAAGAATTTCTTTTTTTTTTTTTTATATAATTTTCTGATATTTGTTATATAATATTTTATGAAACGAATTAACTATTATAGTCCAAGAAAATTCTCAATTTGAGTTTAATTTCAAACTCCAAATCATAGGTAAGAGATTATAGGATTAAATGTTAAGTCACGTTTAGTTTGAATCTGTGCTTATAGGAAACTACAAACAGAAACACGTGATATTAAAAATATTAAATTTGTTCATCTTATCTCAAACTTTTATCTTCTGGAATTGTTTGTAATTATATGAGAATTTTTTTCACAATGTCATAGCCATTATATCAGCCAAAAAAATGTTTTGTCTCGAATTAAAGAAGCTTGAGTAAGATGATTTCCTAATACATGTATACAGAGAAATCGTAGACATTGTGGTCAGTGTGCGCTTTTATTTTTGAAGCCGACATTATTGCAATATGATTAAAATACAGATCTATATTTCGTTTCGTTTGTTTTATACTTTCGATGGCCTCTACTATATACATGAAGATCTGACCGGTTGTAGTGCAAGGTCTGATTACCCTTTTTACTTCAGACATTTGATTAACCAATCAGCGTTGGTGTTTCTAATGGGTTATACGTACAGTTCCGTGAACCTCACGTCAAAAACTCGCCGTAACATACCGTTTCATTAGCTAATCCCTCACATCATCCAGAACGCGGGTTATATAACAACTCTTCCAGATCCTAGTGTAGTAAAGACAAGTAAAACGAAATTTTGAACTGTAAAAAAAGGGGAGAGAGAGAGAAATGGGGTTTAACGTCCACTCGACACAAACTAGGTCATTTCGCGTAGGGGTCTTTAGCAGTGGGAGGAAACCGGGGGACCCGGAGAAAACCCACGAGGTTAGACAGGCGACCCAACTCCTTGTCACGTACAACCGAGGATTCGAAACCACGCTAGTTGACTCAATGACAGACTTTATGATACAGCACGCACGTGCTAACCATTCGGCCACCCCCCCCCCCCCCCCACCCCGAACTATACAAAAACAAACGAAAAAGGATCTGTGTTTGAATCAGATTGATATTATTGTAACTGATGAGAAATGGATCCTGTTTAGTGTGCCTGGAACCTTACCCTTTTATTAAATAAATCCACACATTATCCAAGTGACACAATGTATATCTCATAATAATTATACACATTTATACACCAGTATACAACATAAAACTCAAAAAACATCAATGTATCACAGTGGAGATATCCATCCAAACAGTCACACGTATTGTCAAATATATTTCCAAATTTTGTCCGAAACTGAACTGGACTTATCGAGGAATTATTTCCGATCGGAATGTTTGTTTTTATTGAACTGATTTATTCATTATAGCACTCACAGAATTTCTTGATTGGGACACTTCATTGCTAAATCTATTTGTTAAGGCCAGTTCAATTTTTGTCAAGGTCCTTGAGATGAAAATAAGATTAGGACACGTCATTGTTGGCGAGATAGTAGGTTAGGTTTGGGTAAGCATTGGGGCTAGGTCAAGGGTTAAAGTTGGGATTAGCGCTAGCCCTGTTTACATCTTGTGACAGCTATAACGAAAAACTGAGCTGGCCTTAACATTTAGCACTAACCGGCACTTCATATACTCTATGTTATCAAAAATATATCAAAAATATAAATGCCACAGCAGCCGTGTAGTATTACCGGAACGAATAAAATCCTTTAAAATCCAGGGTTGTTCACAGTTTTTCAGACACATAAGCACTATTTTCCCGACCTTCTTTAAGAGAATCAACCTCAACAACGCTACCGTTGCTTTGTGCGATCGACGTCATTTGAAGTTCAGTCCTAGCGTATCTACCCACTCGATCCTTGGGATTAGCTGGTCCCCATTCTGGTGTAGGTCGAGTCGCGTTCCTCAATGACTGAAAACAGAAACAAATAAATCATTTAGCATATAAAACAAAAGTAACAAATGTCAGTTGAACCTGCACACTAGCTGACAAAATATTGAACGTATCATGTCAGATATACTCATGACAAAATTGAAAAATACTATTAACCTATAGGCTTTTGGCAGGCTAAAGTCTAGGTCCTCAAAAACTAGAGCGCCTCCTGCCAGTGTGTATAATATTTTTAACTCTGTCATGTGCCTTTTTTTTTACATCCACCGTCATCATCTTTGGCTTTGCTCTAGTCGCGAGGATAGGGGGTTGGGAGTGGCCCCATAAGGGGAATAGCCTACGGCCCCTCTGCATTTAAATCTGGCACTGCTAAATCCTCTAAATAATTCAATATGCAGAGTTGTTTCCAAATGCAACCGTTTAACGTATAATAAACATCTGCCATTGATGTACTTTATTGATCCTACTTTAACGGACAATATCTAGTGAGTCAATTATTTTTTTGAATTGTCAGATATCCCCCCACAGTCTCATATAACAATTTTTAGTCTTCGAAGGAATTATTAGTGAGCAGAAATCCGCCCGTTTATCTGTTACCTCTCGTTACGTCAGTCAGTTATATAGAAGGATAACTCGTGTTTTCCTTTGCTTTCGGTTTCTTGGAATCTTCGTTACGCCTCTATCGTAACAATGATCTCTTTGTTAACATTATATTTGGAACGTGTTTAACCAGTTCTATCACATACGAGCTAATGGCTGACACCAATATTGTCCTTTAGTTGTTACACCATCTGAAGAACTACACACGTTTCCAGCCTTCGCCACCACCATATTTACCCTTTAAACTTTAAATTAGTCACTTACCCCGTATCTGCGAATTTGGAATGGCATTGGTAGGATGATAAGAACAATTGGTATTGCAACCATAGCCCAGCCAACATCCTGTACCCAGGATTCAAATTTATAACTACCATAAGATGCCGGACTACTTTTAACAGCCGACAAGATCAGCATCAACTACAAAATAAACATAATCAAATTCTGTAAGGAAATATATCGTCTCCACGCATGCCCTATTATAAATATTCCTATTTGTAGAAAAGACACGTTGAATTCTTTCACTCAGTATGAAAGTGATATCCTGAGGTGTGTGTGAAGGGGGTGGGTGGGGGTGTAGGTAGTGGTAGGTAACTTGATAATGAAACAGGCCTTCTAAAATATATTCAAATATCTATGAAAATTGATTTCTGGATAGGAAATAGAATTGCAATAGACTCAATATTCTTTCCTTAACCATATGCCTAATACAGTCATTTACAGGCGTCACAGAATCTATGGGGCCCATGAATATCAAAGTTTAAAATTAAAATGGACAATTATGCATGAATTTTTTATTGTTCCTTTGAAGCTTATATAGTATGTAGAAAAGTTTTCACTTTATCGCAATCTGCTAGTGAATTATCTAGATATGACTCGTGTTGGAAAGGGGAGGGGTGGGGGGCAGTAAAGGTCTCGCCCCAGCACATTTTTTTCCTTTCAAGGGCCCTGGTTATTTAAGATCAAGTGAAATCTTACTGTTCTTGTGTCAGTAGCAATTCGATGACGATTACCATCAGATTCTCACATGTAGAGAGAAAGAGTTGGATTATCGAGACTATCCTAGGTACTATTTATGAAATTGCCATAAAATTATATTTATAGCGGGGTTTCTATAGACCTACTATAAAATGCTTTAAAATATATCGATAGTGGGGAAATCTGTACTACAAAATGCCTTAAAATAGATCGATAGTGGAGAAATCTGTAGTCCTACTATAAAATGCTTTAAAAATACATTTATAGCCGGGAATATGTAATCCTACTATAAATTGCCTGAAAAATACATTTACAGTGTAGTCCTACTGTAAAATATCGAAATAATGTATCTAGATAAAATGATACAATCACTCACACTAATAGCTACTGGGGTTATGACCACCCAAGTTGCTTTCCAGAACAAAGCAGGTTGAAATCCCAACATAATCTCAACATCGTTAGAAAAGTTTTTAATACCTGCAGATAGAAAGAAGAAAAACATTACAATGGACTTATACTGTTAGAAAAGTTTTTAACACCTACAGGTAGAAAAAAAAACAACATTACTGTGGACTTATATTTTTGATTGCATCTACAGATCCACGTGTGGTTACTCGAGGAATGTAGCACAGAACTATATATCGTTTCGTTTATTTATACTTTCGATGGCCTACACTACACGATGGTCTGACCGAATGTAGTGTAAGGTCGCGTCAGGCGTCATACGAGCGACTTTTGAGTCTATGACGTCAGACATTTGATGTTTCTATTAGGATTCCCACAGTTCCGTGCATCGCACGCCAAGAACTCGTTGCAACAGGCCGTTTCATTGGCTAATCCCTCACATCATCCAGAACGCGGGTTATTTTAACAACTCTTCCTGGTCCTAGTGTAGTAAAGACAAGTAAAACGAAATTTTGAACTATAAAAACGAAACGAAATAGCATCTATGTTTTAATCAGATTGGGAATGCAGGGAATCTGTTCTCAACTAACACAGAGGGTTAAGGCCCCCACCACACCTTTCAGCTCATGGTGGAGTGTGGGTTATACCACGACCATGGTAGGCTGACTTTGTGGGGTAACATACATCTACAAAGCTTTTTCTAAGACATTTTCTTTTACGCTTTCCGACCCCTAAATATTTATATATTGTCTATCGCGATAAATTGTCTTTTGTTTTTGTTGTGGGGAACGCTAGAATGTGTAAAGGCCTGCTTGTGAAGAATTACGTTTCAATGCCCATGACGTTGATCTATTTGATTTGACAGGCAAAATGCGTAAAACAAGGTAGGGGGTTGGATGGTTAGCGTGTGTGCGTTGTATCATAAAGTCTGTCATTGAGTCAACTGGCGTGGTTTTGATTCCCTGACTGTACTTGATAAGGAGTAGGTCGCCTGTTCAGCCTCGTGAGTTTTCTCCCACTGTTAAAGACCTCTAAGCGCACGCGAATTATTGAAATAAAATTGAACCATATGTTAGTCCCGAAATTACTTAGTTTGTGTCGAGTGGACGTTAAACTATTTCTAGCTCTCTCTCTCGCGTAAAACAACAAGGTTTGAATTGCGGAAAATATTTTCGAGTTATGTCCCTTTTAATGTTAACCTACCATATATCCATATAACTGCAACAATTTCTGTTAGACATACTATCATTAAACCAAAACTAGCACTATACCATTCCATTAACGTCAACACCCATATCCCTCCCTAAATAATATTAAAAATACATCATACAAGAGCTAAATCTGCCTATTGCAGTTCTTTCTTTAGGCCTGAAATGTTATATAAACTATTAATTAGACATTAATTAACTTATCCAGACCATAATCAACTCTAAATGCCATCGCTAGCCCGCGATATAGGAATAAATTTTTTGAAAAAATAAAACGTAAAATTGGATAATCGGGACTGTTTTTATCGTACCAACTTTAGTACTGATGATCGAGGCTAGGCTTAAAATTCAAAAGCTAATATCGCGGTTCAGAGTGGAGCAATTTGACTGAAATTTTCAGCATATTCTGTTTAGTTATTTGTTTTGTCAACTCACCCATAATGACCCTTTAATATGAGATATATTGATGTTTTGGCTATTTCAAATTCCAGTAGAGAGAATTGAATGCAAGATACGCGTCGTTACTTATAGCCAACTTGACCAAAATTTTGGGGCTAGATTTTAGCTGACAAAGTCACCAGTCTAGCGCTTTAGAAATATTTTTCTCGGCAGTTAAAATCCTAATTATATAAGAACTGACAGAACACAATTTTTATGGGAAAAAATCACTTGTTTTATTCTAAAAGCACGACGTTTCGACAAACTCTGATTAAAATACAGATTTATATTTCGTTTCGTTTTTTTTTTATACTTTTGATGAACTACACTACATGAAGATTTGACCGATTGTAGTGGAAGGTTGTGTCAGGGGTCATACGAGCGGCTGTTGACCCTATGACGTCAGACATTGATTAATCAATCAGCGTTGACGTTTCTAGTGGGTTACTCACAGTTCCGTGGACCTCACGTGGAAACTCGCTGTCACGCGGGTTATATAACAAATCTTCCAAATCCTTGTGTAGTAAAGGGGAGTAAAACAAAATTTTGAACTATAAAAATATGAAACGAAATAGGATCTGTGTTTTAATCAGATTGCGATTCCCAATGACTAAAATAAATGCCAAATGTATTGGCGAGGAAACTTACCTTAGTTACTAACGGTAAACCCAGTAAAAAGCCAATAAAATGACAAAACATGGCGAATTTGGTTCTTCTTGGTCGTAAAAAGTGGGGAAATGTGTCTATAATGGCACTGATGATAGCTTCAAACATAGCAAACTGAAAAAATACCAACATTGAAGAATAGAATCAATTAACGTCATACTCGACACAAATTAGGCCATTTCGCGACTAACATATGGTTCTATTTTATTTCAATAATTCGCTTGCACGTAGGGGTCTTTAGTAGTGGGGGGGGGGGCGGAGGACTCGGAGAAAAACCACGAGGTTGGACAGGCGACCCTACTCCTTGTCACGTACAACCGGGGAATCATAACCACGCCAGTTGACTAAATGCCAGACCTTATGATACAACGCACACGCGCTAACCAATCGGCCATCCAACCCCCCTGAGTCAATCAGGTAGATTCTACCGGATAGATCTTAAACAACGTTTAGAAATAAAATAAAGGGGGGGGGGGTGTCAACGATTAACTTTCCCGCATCAACTTGGATACTGAAAACGGTCATTGTCCATGAAGTATGTTATTGGAACATGTTGCCATGATAATCGACTTTTGAGTCTACTTTTCGTGAATTCTATACGTCAATGGTTCTTTTACGTGCACATCAAAAATCACAAAGTTTAGAGATAAACTACTAATATCTAGAGATAACGTATCCATGACTTGAAAATAAATAACAACCTGACTGTCTAATCCCAAAGCTACCAACATAAAGAAGAAGAGGAAAGACCATATAGCTGCACCAGGCATATGAGATATTCCCAATGGATACACAACAAATACTAACCCAGGACCTAGAACAAACAATGATTGATATTATAGCAAACTGGCAGCATATTACACAGATTTGAAGACTTAAAGTCTATGTTTAGATTTAGAAAGATGATAGCTACTACCATCATAACTTAATCGAATGTAGTTTCCTTAATACATATTCAATCTGATTAAAACCCAGAACCTATTTTGTTTCGTTTTGTTTTATAGTTCAAAATTTTGTTTTATTTGTCTGTACTACACTAGGATCTGGAAGAGTTGTTATATAACTCGCGTTATGGATGAACTGAGGGATTAGCCAATGTAACGGTCTATTACTGTTACGGCGAGTTTTGGTGCACGGAAATGTAGGTAAACCACTAGAAACGTCAACGCTGATTGATTAATCAATGTCTGGCGTCAAAAGACACCCGAAGCGACCTTCCACTGAAACCGGTCAGATCTTCATGTAGTGTAGGCCATTGAAAGTATAAAAAAAAACGAAACGAAATATAGATCTGTATTTTAATTAGATTGATTATAACAGAAACTCTTGACAATCTTGCGTTAAAAAAAGAGGTGGTATCACGTGTTCTAACGTGTATTAAGTGAATAGAGCAAGGGCCATCTATTATTCAAAGATAGTTGCTGTTAATTAATTTGACACCAAATGTAAGAATTAACAATGGACGTACCATCAACAGCTACATCCTTGACCTCTTGATTTGTAGTATGTGCCATAAAACCTAAGACTGAGAATATAATAAACCCAGCGAATACACTCGTACCACAGTTTATCATAGATACTATAATCGCATCTCTGAAATTATAAAAAATTATAAAAATAATATTAGCTAAAGGGTGATTTCAACTTTATTTATGTTGTCTCTGTAAATACCCCTCCCCCTCGTAATGACAGAAATAAAACAATACTGTATGTAGTCTCCAGATTACAATTGAAAAATATCAACGAGGTGATAAACATCAATCTATTCTCTGTATGTTACATTGCACAGATGCCTGTCAGTCATTTAAAGGAATCGGTGAGATACTCTCGGTGGATGTACGGGCGAACGTATTTGCGAGATAGTTCCGCTCTAACATTTCGGGACTAACTTATGGTTTAATTGGATTTCAAAAGGAGTCTTTAGCTGTGCGAGGAAACTGGAGGACTCGGAGAAAACCCACGAGGTTGGACAGGCGACCTCACTCCTTGTCACGTACAACCAGGCAATCGAAACAACGTATTTTCAATCTGAAAGTGAACATTTTATTTAAATGAGTAACAACTAACCTGTGACTATTGTGTTTAAAAGGATTAAAACTGGCCATGGTAATAAGACTTCCAAACGCTGGTCCTAATGAATAAAATATCTGAGTTGCTGCTTGTCTCCACACCTGTAATATATGACGTGTATTATCTGTGTAAACAACTGGTACCTGCCCTTTACGCGTAAGGAAAATAGTTTGGTTCCACAATAAAATATCTAGATGACTGGATCCCGTTATTTTTGCCGATATTGATTTCTTTTGTCGAATGACAACCTTTCTTTTTCATTAGGAGTCTTAGATCTATCGACAAAGCCAGTGTCGAGTTATAACCGATTTTGTGTTCGACTTTCGATACAAAAATGAAACTACAATTAGAAAACAGACTTCCGCTTAATGTTTCGAAACTAAAGAAAGGGGTAATTGTACATAGCTTGCCCAATTACTGCTTGAATCAACCGCTTGAATCAACCCAATTGAATACTTTATTTGGAATCAAATCAATGAGGTTTAGCTAGAGAAAGATTTTTGAAGTTGTGACATAGTTCTTCCGTCGACAGTATGCATACACTTTGAAGCATTATCAGAAACAAAAAAAGTATCTGTGTAAAATATATAGCAATAAAATGAGGTTTAACGTCCTACTGTTATGCGTCCTCTGGACAAATAAAGACGGGCATCATGTTTGGCCTGGACACCGACGTTACCGCCTACTCTTATTTCAAATTTCAACTGTTATTTTGACGACACGCCAATATATGCACGGTAACTCTTACCTCGTCCCAGACTCCCTGTCCTACACCACTGACATCATCGGCAGTGAACCCCAGCCTCGGTATTGTAGGATATACAATTAGAAATACCGTAAAAAATATGTATAAATGTTTCCCCCTCTAATATAATATATCATATACTTACGTCTATATCCAATAATCTCTCCCATTCAGGTATGATATAAAATTTAATTCCCTCCATAGAACCTTCTAAAGTCACTCCTCTAACCAATAAACATATTAAAATAACGTAGGGGAACGTAGCCATAAAATATACAACCTACAAAATAAAACATATATATTATAGATAAAACCACGAGTGAGGCTGGTAGGGCGAGAAAGAAAATCGATCTCCTCCATTCAGGTGTTTAGGTTAAACGCGCAATCGTGCACATTTATAGGAAGGATAAAGCATGAGAAAGGGGTTTTGCTGGGGAAAGAAATACTGAAGAAAATAACCCGAGACAAAAAGAAAATAACCCGGAAGGCCGAGCTTTTTCTTTCGAGGGCTTTTTCTGATGTCTTTCTTCCACGGCATAACCCAAGTCGAGAACTTTATCTTACTTATAAACCGTCTATGTTTACATGTACGTAAAATGAGAATATCCCAGAATTACAATAAGAAAAGCCGCCTCGACTTTCAGACCGCAAGTTATTCCGGGCATAGAATATACCCCAAATCGAAATAAAATGAAAATTAGCAGGAAAAATTATTAAAAACCAACCTTTCCAGACGTTTTTACTCCTTTCTTTAAACAGAAAAATAACAGAATCCAAGCCAAGGCGAGAACAAAAGCCAGTTTTACACTGATGCCACCAACATCACTAAAATCCTTGGCTTCATGTAACTGTAGAACAAATCGTCTGTAATTAAATCATAACAAATATATAAATAAAATGAAATGGGGTTTAACGTCCTACTGTTCTGGTCCAACTGGAATAATGAAGAGAGACATACGCCATACAGTGTGTCAAGAGAGAAATTTTGTTCGGGCAGCGGCACTATCGAATTCCAACTGCCATACACGGAACCTCGGTTGTTCGTCCCATCTGAACGACTAGACAGCTGTCAGGCCCCTCAGTGTTGCACCACCGACAAGGGGAAACCAAGCTAGAAATGCAGGGATCTAGGTCAATGCAGATTTTGCCTGACAAAGCTTGTATTTCATTTGCGCCCCACCAATGTCTCTCACAGGTATTTGTTTTTCCAGGCTTGTGTATAAATTATTTTGCTTTTGATGCAATGTCGAACCCCTGGCCTTTTCTCGTGTTGGGACTGGCCATAGACCCTGGTCATGTAGTTATCATGGTGTGCGTGTATCTGATTTTAGTCCTGAAAGTCGACTGTACTATCCTATTGGACAAGCAGTCTAATATCAAACAGAACCGATTTCAATTCATTAAGTTGTAATATAGATTTACCTACGTGAAATATTCCTCACTTGGTAACTTATACAGATGTTTAAGGTTACAATCAGAGAAATTAGTTTGGGTTAGGTTAAAGGTCAGATCGTCCATACTAATACCAGATTCCTGTAGACCATCTTCTAGACATGTTTCATTAAACATACCTTAAAAATAAAAAAATAAAAAGTTTATTAGTGAATTAAAGTTATGTTCTTTCAAAAATGGGAGGTTGGGTGGCCGAATGGTTTTACGGCCTCTCGACACAAACCAGGTAGTTTCGGGACTAACATTATTGTTCAATTTTATTTTTTAATAATTCGGTTGGGCGTAGGGGGGTCTTTAGCAGTGGTAGGAAACCGGAGGTCCTGAAGAAAATCCACGAGGTTTAACAGGCGACCCTACTCCTTGTCACGTACAAGCGGGCAATCGAGACCTTTTGATGCAGCGCGCACGTGCTAAACATTGGGCTATCCAACCCCCTTCACATATTGCATTAACTCACATTAAACACGCAGAAGCACAATGTTGGTAACTCATCATAATGTGTTCATTACATGAAACTGTTTCGGAACTCCATTTCGGCTCGCTACCCCTCCCCCCTCCCTCCCTCACCGACGGATGTGTCATGTTGTCATGTTGCAGTCTCCACCTTCGTGTAGAAGTCAAGGTTGAAAGGTTAAGGTGGGGTTACTCGAAGTTGAGTATTGAAATCGTTGGGATACAAACCTTGGCGATGATAAGATTGCTTATCACATGTTGATATACTTCATGACAAGTTTATCAGTCAATAATTCATCATAAGATTATTATTGATATGACCAAGATTAAAGTCTTACATGTTTAGATTGTACTGTTATAGACACAATGAATATAGTAAACAACTATAACAAACTACTATCACAGAGACGGGTTGGTTCGATAGGCAAAAAATCGAATCGGTCTTTATCTGGATCTTCGGCAGCAGGGGAGGGGAGGGGGTGGCGGAATGGTTAAAGCCTATCCAACCTCGTAGGTTTTCTCCTTCATTTGCTAAAGACACCGCAAGCGAATTATTGAAATAAAATTGAACCATAATGTTAGTCCCGAAATGACCTAGTTTGTGTCGAGTGGACGTTAAATATCTCTCTCTCTCTCTCCGCTCGCTCTATACTAAATCCCAATGTTTTGATACTGTAAAATAGATTCTTTGGGCACTTACCTAAAGTTACGTTTAGTTTTTGATCCTCTGACATGTTCTTAAATGATGGGATAGCTGTTGATAAACAATATGGCGAATTCCATAAATTATCACATGTGGTCCATGGTAGTTGTCCGTCCAGATTTATAATGGATACCATCAGATAGAACATGGCGTATGTGATGACTACATTATAATATATACACACCATAGCAGATATAGATATCATACCTAATCCAACTCCTAATAAACAAATAAAACAACAACTGTTAATACTTTAAACAACAACTGTTATAAAACAACAACTGTTATAAAACAACAACTGTTATAAAACAACTGTAATAGTTTATAAACAACAACTGTAATAGTTTATAAAACAACAACTGTTATAGTTGATAAAACAACAACTGTAACAGTAGCTAAGTCTCTAACTCAATATCATCCAAAGTCTGACGCGACCTCACACTACAACCGGACAGATCTTCATGTAGTAGAGGCCATCGAAAATATAAAAAAAACGAAACGAAATATAGATCTATATTTTAATCTAAGTGACAAAGATTCAAATCAAGCTTAAAGTAGCTAAATCTCCAACTGAATATCATCCAAAGTCTTCGACATTGAAAACACGAATTATTTGTCAATTTAAATCAACATTGATGTTGTGATCTTACCGGGAAAATATGGGCTTCTGATATCCAATATTTAAGAAAATATAAACATTTTATCATTGGTACACGAATCGTGTACCATAGTGCGTTTCAGCGCCATTTGTAACAAGGGATTTCGAAGACTGGAATAACCAGACGCTAGAGATTGCCATTTGATTCAGACTTCTTGCATTATTACATTATTATATGCGTTGCGACCCGTTTGTGTCCATTTAACATGTCTAGACCAAGAATTGTGCCCAAACGCTAATCATCGTGTTGTTGTTCTTGGTGTTGTTGTTCTCGAGAGCGACGCTCTTTGAAAAAATCCTAAACCTCGGCTACGATCGACTTAAAACTAAGTATGTGTGTTACTTGGAGAATGGCGCATCGATGGACGGACTTCGATTTTTGACGCCATAATTTCACGATGCCTGCGATGACATATTTACCCAGACAATTGTTTGCAGTTTCTTTCCTTGGTGTTATGAGTTCTAGGCAAAATCTATTTAAAGACACAATATTCGACAATAAATGACAAATATACGCCAAATCATATATTGCTCAATACTCGACTAATCCTAACGTAAGTAATACAATGTTAAAGTCTTACCCCAAAATAATGGATTAACTCTCCAAACTGCCAGCGGACCAAGAGAAGCAAATTGTCCAAAACTCAACTCGAAAAAGAAGAGAGGCAATCCAGCTATGACCAACATTATGGTGTATGGAATAAGGAAGGCTCCTAGATTTTAATAGAAAAATATAATTTGTGTTAATTCTGATCACTGAAAAAAAGACCAACGTGGCTATGCGTGGAATATTCAAATATTGCTTCTGATAGAAATCATGCCGTATAATGCGAGCAGGTGAACCATAACACGGATACAATAACTTGTGACTTGTGTGCTTATATATAAAGCACAGATGTAACTTTACCAAGTTTCGTGGCATAAGCTAAAAACAGTGATTTTAACAAACTGAGAATAGTGACAAAGCACCGAATGAGAGATAGAATTTATCTATAATAATATACATTCCTGATTATGGTGATTACCATAAGTGAGTTAATTAACAAATTGAGAAAAGATACCCTTGTTTCAGTATTGTTCGTCCATGATTATATCCGTTACCACCATTGCCTTAAAACCGCTGATTGTCACTTCCAGTTTTTCGGACAATTTTAAAATATAAAAACAATGTTTATATCTAGTGACTTACCACCTCCATTTCTAAAACATAGATAAGGGAATCTCCAGATATTTCCCAAACCAACAGCATATCCAACACATGACATGAAGAAATCTAATTTACCACCCCAATTCCCTCTTTCTGGTTCCTCGGTACCTTCCGGAACAACTTCTTTCTTCTCTTCCGCCATCTTAAATAGATATTAAATAGATATTAAGTGAAATGGTGTTTTGTTTAAAGCTAATGATACAAAACTATAAGCAAAATAAATCAGATACAATACCGTTTATTTTGATAGTTAAAGAGAGAGAGAGAGAGAGAGAGAGAAATGGGGTTTAACCTCCACTCGACACAATTTCAATAATTCGCTTGCGCGTAGGGGTATTTAACAGTGCGCGCTATATCATTAGGTCTGTCATTAAATCAACTGGCGTGGTTGTACGTGACAAGGAGTAGGGTAGCCTGTCCAACCTCGTGGGTTTTCTCCGGGTCCTCCGGGTTCCTTCCACTGCTAAAGACCCCACTGCTAAAGCGAATTGAAATAAAATTGAACCATATGTAAGTCCCGAAATGACCTAGTTTGTGTCGAGTGGACGCTAAACTCTCTCCCTCTCTACCCCTCTCCCTATCTCCCTCTCTCTCTCTCTCATTCTCTCTCTCTCTCTCTCTCTCTTCGTCGACCATAAACACTGTCCTTCGAATATGTTTTTGTTTAACTGTAGCTTAAAACACGAAAACGTGTCACAACAATCTTTAAGATTACTATTATTAGATACAAAAACAACAACATTGGCGTATGTTATGCAAAAAATATAAGTTTATTTTTGTGGTGGTGTAAAAAAAAAATATTAAGAAATAAGAATGTACAATTTTTACTGTGTATCGCAACACAATTAAACGTGAATCATCTCCTTGGAGATATGCGCCATTTTGTTTGTTTTCTTGTCACAAAAAAAGAAGATTTTTTGACAAACACAAAAAACGCCTTGTTTAACGATGCAGTGAAATCAAGGCCAAACTTTTACCGACTGTCATAAAAACAAGATGGCGCCCCACCGCACAAGAGCTACACATATGATTATCCATTAAAGATGATTATGTACGAGCTAAATCTGCCTATTTCAGGCCTTTAGTTTGTGTTATAAAATGTTTTATAAACAATTATTTAGATAATTATTCGCACGAAAAGCCTATATTCAAATCTCTAGACCATCGGATGGTAGAGATTTAAATGGATTGAAACACGATCGCCATTTAATGATTTATTTTAAAAATGACGAATCGAGGCTTAGTCTCGATTAACAAGTACTGTTGCTACGATAATAAACAATCTATGACACATCAGGTCATAACTTCGAACAGTATTATTTTTAATACCTAATATATACAATGTCCTGATAGAACACCTATATCAAGACATTTTAAAGGAGCTAAATCTCTAACTCAATATTTTCCATAATATTTGAAATTAAAAAACGCGAATTAGAATTCAATATTGGTCCATTTCAATCCATATTGATGTTATAATCTTGCCGTGAAAATATAGGATTCTAAATCCAATATTTAAGAACCACGCTACATTCCCAGTATTCTGTGGTTTTGGGTGCCATTTTGTAATGAACAAATTAATAAAATGAAATGAAATGGGGTTTAACGTCCTGCTCGAAATTAATAAAAACATATCCTACAAGTCAATGTGGAAGTATAGTAAAAACTGAATCACAAACGACTTAATAATAATAAATAAAAAGCGTGTAGAATGTACTAAGCAAGCGTAAACGTAATTTGAACAGTTCACGTATTTCATCGAACATAATTGATTAGAAATTACAATATTTGTTCAAAAATTGAATAAAAATAACTTTACGTATATTCATATTACATTAAAGGAGGCAAGTCTCTAACTATATATAGTCCGCAGTCTTTGACATTGCAAACACGAATTATTTGTCAATTTAAATCATCATTGATGTTATGGGCTTCTGATATCCAGTATATAAGACAAAAAGAAAAAATTAAAATTGGCACACGAATAGCGTGACAAATAGTTTTCGAGCGCCATTTGTAATGAAGCGACCCGAAGAATGAGGCTTAACATACCCCACAAGAGAATACTACCGGTCTAGACTGGAATGACCAGACGCCAAAGACTGTTATTCGGTTTGGATTCTTCGCATATTTCGCCGAACATAAATTTTATATACATCCATATACATTATTATATGTGTTGCGACCCATTTGTGTCCATTTCTAGTTGCCAAAAATAGAGATTTAGCTCCTTTAATATGTGCGTTTAGAGCCATGTTCGTCTATTTCAAGGCTAATATAAAAAGGAATAGAGCCCTACGCCCTTTAAAGCAGCAGTGTATTTACAATGCAGTGCAAACAACGAGAATTGAAACTTAAAACTAAATTACAAGAAACATTACAACAAATTCATTTTATAGTTTATTTACCTTGACTAACCGTTTGTTTGTTTCTCGGGGTATCTTAAATAATATGCTATTATCCCACTTTTAGTTTATCTAATCTCTCTCCCATTTGAATGTATGATAAACGCATGTTGAGTTTCCATGAATGGAGGACACGTTTTATTTTTAAAATTTGAACAAAGAGAACAATAAGACCCCGAATGTAGACTGCACTTAATTTTCATAATGTTAAATATTAACTTGATGCAAAAAAATAATACAGTCACGTGATTGTATACGTGAGGTTATTGGGGACATCAAAACTTTGAATGTTTGCTTCTTTTTACGGAGTTTTTTAGTTGCATTTTACATTAAACATAATTTATTTTCATTGAATTAAAAACAATCAAACACGATAAACATAAATTCAATCAAGTTAGCAAGATATAAATTACAGGGTTATTTTGTCGAATATCATTCTCTGGATAAAAAGGAAAAACTGCGTAAAGGCACGAATTCTTATTTATATATCCCGTACAATCAATGTGTACTATTTTACAGTTTAATTAACGTTAGAATGTATTCAAATTGATTATTTAACATTTAATGAGGGAAAAAACATCTACGGTCAATACTCCCCTGACTTGGATTATAAAGGGGTCCATCAAAAGGAGAGAGAGAGAGAGAGGGAGAGAGAGAGAGAGAGATGTGGCTGAACGTCCACAAACTAGGTCATTTCGGGACTAACATATTGTTCAATTTTATTTCAATAAATCGCTTGCGCGTAGGGGTTTTTAGCAGTGACCTATCAAGGGATTTACCCCTATATGTATAATCAAACTATATACATTAATTCATTTTGAAGCCGACATAATTGTGACTGATGGGGGCGGGGGTGGATAGCCTAGTGGTTAGCGTGTGCGCGTTGTGTCATAAGGTCTGTCATTGAGTCAACTGCCGTGGTTTCGATTCCGTGGTTGTACGTGACAAGGGGTGGGATCGCCTGTCCAACCTCATGGGTTTTCTCCGGGTCCTCCGGTTTCCTCCCATTGCTAAAGACCCCTACGTGCAAGCGAATTATTAAAATAAAATTAAAACATATGTTAGTCCCGAAATGACCTAGTTTGTGTCGAGTGGACGTTACCTCCCCCCCCCCCACCTCTCTCTATATATACATATACATATATATAGCCAGTTCCGTTTTCGAAATATCCGGATCTCTGGAAATATGCGCGTTATTAAATCTATTTATATAACTTTTATGTCATCGCAATGCAAGAATTTAATTATTTTCGTTTGTATTACAAAATGATGACATATATTCATAGATTATATAAATCGTAAAAGAAATGAAATGGTTTAACAGCCTAAGGACCAACCGTAATAATGAGGACCGGTAGTGAAAGAAATGAAAGGGGTCCATTTAAAATTCACATTAGCGATTTGCCATTCAATCTTAATCACTACTCAAATATTCGTGGAATATCACGCAAATATTCGGGGAATATCAAGCAAATATTTGGGGAATATTAAGCGAATATTCGATTCATGTAAAAATATTTAAGGAGTTATGGGAAAGTTTAGGTCTCGTAGACAAGAATACATGCATTGAATCAATTTTGTCGGCGATTATTTGTGTTCTCAAACTGTTATATATCGGGTGGGTCCCAAAATTTGCCGAACTTTTACACTGCATTGCTCGGTAACCATTCTGTAGAATATTAATACAGTATATTTAAGTGAATGAACACCAGTCTGCTTAAGCAAATAAATTTCAGTTTCATAACTCAAAGGACCAGTTTGCTTGAGCAAAAGTAGTGTATTATATCAAATTCAGTAACAGAACGAGTCAAGGGTCCGCAATCCGTTCTGTACCGATGACAAGATGAAACCAAGCCGGGAGCTCTAGAAGACCCCCCGGGAACATCCTTGTTTGAGAGCCATCACCGTACCCACGGAGCTACAGTTACTATCAGATTGTTGTTGGTTGCTTCAATATATCGACACAACTTGTGGAAATATGGAAAAAGGTATCCGATTGATCGGCGAAGAACTGAAATGAGGTTTAACGTCCTACTGTTCTGTTTCGAATGGGCTAATGTAAACAGAGTTGATCGACGAACATGTAGTCCTACATGGAGTCCTTCTAATCACCGACAAGGGCGTCCCAAGGTAACCGACAAGGGTGTTCCAAGGTATTGCATAATGTAACCGACAAGAAAAGATATGTTATAGATAGGTATTTTCAGCTAATTTCATAAACAAAAACTGACAAAATTATGGGTTATTGAAAATAAATTGACAAATAAAAATCTCTTGACGGTGAATATTGTGATTAATAAGACCATTTTGTCCAAATTTTAATTATCTGTAGTTTCTTTTATAAAATCATTTAAATTTTGGATGTTGGTGATATAGGTTTCATCTTTAATATTTTGTGTTTACTTTTTCGATATTAAAATATACAAGTTGCTGCTTGTCTCAGTTCACGTTTAGGCTATCATTGTTCCCGCCATGAAGCCGAGATGTCTATTTTTTTATTCCAATTTAAAATGAAATTGTTCGTGTCTATTTCATTCAAAATATCCATGAGATATTACATCTGGGAAAACTGCGCTGTAAAAAGTCCGTTAACACAAAGTCGTACCGGCATGTAGAAGTTAGCAGTTTTCAATTATAAATAAATAAGAAAAAGAACAACGGCCAAAAATAAAAACCAGAATTAAAACTCTTTAAAAAATACTTACTTCTCGTTTCTAACTTAAGATGTTTATCCTTAATTTAAAAAACAATCCTAACTCGAAAGTTTTTTGATAACACAATCACCAAAAACAAAGATATTTTATTCCTGAAATTTATTTCAACAATTAGCCATTTTATCCTGTACACACTAGTGACATCTCTATTTTAATCTTAAAATATTTCCAACCGTAGGATAAAAAAAAATCTATTTTTTTCCTAAAATGATTCCAAAGACTACTCCAATAGACTCAGAAGAAAGGTACTCCCACTTCGCACGAAACCTTCACAATTTTAGGGCTCGGTACAACTGCTCATGCTTTTATAGTTGAAGTTCAAAGTGCAGATATTTAATCCAATTACTGTTCAAATAATAAAATAATAATTCAAGTTGGTCGTTTCAGATTTTAATCTGTTATGACTGATAGAAGGTTATGGGGCATGGTGGTTCTTGCTTGTCACTGTCATCAAATCTACTTGAACATGAATTG